CACACCCCTCACTTACATGCAGAAGCACCATTGGTCCAGATGCTGACCTCAGCTCATGCTTTGAGTGTGGGCTTGTGCATGCATGATGTAGAGAATGAGCAGGGAGACAGGGAGGAAAGTCTGGAGACATTGGTCTAAACCTGAGGGGACAGGCAATGTTACAAAAATTGATATTATGAAACAAACGTGTCGTTAGGAAAAAATTTCACGACGAAGAAAGAGTCATCTTTTGAAAAATGTGTTGACAGTAATGAAACCACCACTCAAAAAAATACTCAAGACATCTGTATTTGCCATGCTCCTGACTGTTTTTCTATCTCTCCTCACAGGGGGGATTTGTTGGAAAACAAAATCCTGCAATATTAAAGTTGTGCAGATGCAGGGTCATGGGATTTCTTGCGTTGGTTTTCTGCTGTATCACTGTTTTGACAGTGTGGTCAGTGTAATACCTCTGCAGGATTTAGGAGGTTGGGGTGGTTTAGTTTAGGGATGTAGGGGATCAGGTCTTTTTTATACACTGAAACCCTTTTTGAATTACTAACCTCTGCGCTGTCAGGGTGCAGAGAGTTCTCCTGGAAAGACTCTCTGACTGGACTTATCCCTTAAATAACTCAAAGGAGTTACAATGTGGGCATATGCACTCTCTACTGGGTGCAACACTTGGGCACTAAAATGTGCACATACATTTGTTGTATTAGCAGCATACACTGCTGCAACAAGAGACAAAACAGAGTTCAGTCCGGTCTGAAACAGTGAAAGGGGGAACAGAGAAAGATACTGGCTGGTCTTACTAAACAGATCATATCATGTTAAATGCATTTTAGTAAGAATAATACACAAAGCAAAGGGCCTTTCTAAAGAGTTGCAGCCATGTGTTAAAAATCTTCCTATTTGTTAGAAAGGAAGAAAAGTGACTCCAATAAAACATGCAAACAACCTTTGAGAAAGGACTGAAACAAATACCAAAGTGTACCTGAAAACAGAATCTAACCACTTTAAAAAGATCTGTTTTGTGTACCTTAAAAAAAAAAGGTGACCAAGGAAGAAAAGTGATATCAAAGGGCACCTCAAAACAGACTTAAAAAGTTTCACAAAAGAACAAAATCAGGTGTGAAAGGGTTCCTCAGGAGAAATGCTATCATCATCTTGTGCGTGTTATGATATGCAAAAAAGGACTTGAATGCTAAACGTTGTTTTTGAAGTTAGAATTTGACAACCTGGGGAAGAGAGGGACATTTGTGGGATAGTAAACAGAAAATTGTGCATCGCTTTAAGGAAGATGTATGAGGATAAGCTACCAATCTCATTCTACCAACTGTTTCCCAGAGAGGTATGCTTTGGACTTGTGCTTTACTTGCAGTTCTTTTTCGGGCTGTAAATATTTTATTTACATACATAAAGAAAAGAACATGGTGGTGGAGGTTTGAGGATCTTCCTTGTATATGCAGCAGAGAAAAAAAAGAAACACGCGGCTCTCACCTCAGTCTGAAAGCCATCAAACACATCCAGCTCGCAGACAGTGCCAGTTTAATCTGCATGAGGACGCTCAGGCCAAGAAATCATAGCTGCTTTTTCACCTCCACCTGTGTGTTTGTGTGTGTGTGTGTGTGTGTGTGTGTGTGTGTGTGTGTGTGTGTGTGTGTGTGTGTGTGTGTGTGTGTGTGTGTGTGTGTGTGTGTGTGTGTGTGTGTGTGTGTGTGTGTGTGTGTCCGAGGGGCAATGAACAGGCGCTGAAAACTACACAGGATATGGAACAGAGAGGTAGAGCAGTGTAGGGAGAGAGATTTCATCTCCTCTCTGCCTGTATACATATCTGCTCGAATGTAGGTCAGGCAGCCCCAGTCACTCTTGCAGCCTGGGAGAATGAGATTGCTCTGTGTGTTCATACACATCACATGAATAACGCATATGTCTCCCTGGTAATGTGTGCTTATTTGTGTGTGCCCCTTGTCCTCATGTGCCATGTGTATTGCTCTATATGATGGGTTGTGATTTTTTTTTTTCTCTTTTGTGTGTGAGTCTGAAATGCCTGTCATGTTCCGCGTGTGTCACAGCGGACATCACAGCTCACTTTCCTTACTGCAGTGTACATAACCTTACAATAGGTTTTCATTACTGTGTGTGTGTGTGTGTGTGTGTGTGTGTGTGTGTGTGTGTGGTGTGTGTGTGGGGGGGTTATACCAGCCAGTATTTCCAGGCTATTTACAGTGTGTACCCTGTCTCTGATAGATATAGGCACCAAGTAAAGGGCAGGAACGAACCCCTTTCATTCTCCAAGGAATACTCTGTGAGATAATAACACACACGCACACACAATCCCACGCATACTGATACACACTTGTAGGATTGTGTGCTCCGAAGAAGTCTACCAGTCCTTGGTCATGTCTTCTATATCTGGAACAAAGAGGAAGAATGAGAATAGCATGTGCACATGTATGTCCTTCAATAACCGTCTATGATACTGTATAGAATCTGAGAGTGTGTCTTTGTGTATCCCAGTTTCAGTGTTTGCATTCCTCTGGGTGTGCTCCCTTTGCAGTTGAAGGTCTATTCTTCCCTCTCTTTGCGCTGTCGGTCGCTGTCACTGTCCTTGGTGCTGAAACGTACACACTAGCACTTCAGCTCCATGGCTTTAAAAACCAAGCACAAACGCACACATTTAGTTCAAAAAACGACACAGTCACAGTGTTCTGTATTTTTGTGTAAGAGGGATCGACCAATATTTCAAACACTAGACACTAGATTTCATGGCCAGAATCATCTTTGGTACCCAGAATTCAAAGATTAATACGAAACAGAGATGCAGTTTACCACAACCTGAGTTACTGTTCATCTGTGAAACCAACAAAGTATGCCTAAATTACCCAATGAAACCCTTAGAAACATTATATCTTTTAGACTATGAACAAAATCAAATATGAGGGGAAAGGAAGTTCACAGTAAGGATATTAAATAATATTGGAATTTTTCAATTTTGATCAAATTTCCCCCGAGGAATTAATTGAGTAATCATGATTCTGATTCTGAATTTAAAGGCACAAAGGAACATAATAGCAGCATAATAAGCAGTGGTGTCTGGTTTCTGAATCAGTATGTTTGCTTCAGCTTCTCATGCACAACAATCCTGATGTTTGTTGAACTGTGACACAGCTAACAGTGTGTTTGTTAGAGGTTGATGTACTGAGATAAAACGTTGCATAATGAGCGCTCTTCGTGTTATATTAGATGTTTACAGAGTAAATTTCTTTTGCTAGTAGCCATAGAGCAGAGGTTTATGTTGAACCCTGTACTGTGTCGCCTTCTGGTATCTTTTCATTCTCATGCAACACACACACACACACACACACACACACACACACACACACACACACACACACACACACACACACACACACACACACACACACACACACAAACAGATATAGCAGGGGAATGTGGGTTGTGTCCTGATGAAGAGTCAGAGAGCTGTGATTTGTCATCAGCCTCCACATGAAGACCTTCATCAGAGGACAGACCCATCACTTACACTCTGATTATAATGACCATGGGGCCAAGGATGAGCGTGTGTGTGTGTGTGTAGTGGTGGTGGGGGGGGGGATGTGTGTTCAGGGGTTACGGTACTTTTGTTTAATGGGGTAGAAGGAAGAGCACCGTGTACACAAATTTGGCAAAACTAATTTAACCTACATTTGAGATGGCGTGAGATACAGTGGATCAGATGGATGACATTAAGTGAGAATTTTTTTAATCATCATAACAACTTTGTATTTCAGGTTGTACATGTTAAAATAGACCATATTCAAAAACTTTGCATGGCCATCTTAATGACTTAGAGTTCATTTCTTGGCCATTTCTGCATAGGCATTGTACAGAATAACCAAATATCCCACTGACAGAATTCAGAGTCGAGTACAGCCCTAATTAAAATGGTTTAGGAGCATCTTGGTGACTATCATCGGATACAAACCAGCAGTTTCTGCAGATTTTAAAACCATAAAAGAGAACAGGACGATGGTTGTAAAATGAAAATGTTATTGAGCGACCCATTGTTTTTCAGCTCGGCCGCGCTTTTTACTCGCACTACAAAGAACATGGACAAAAAAGGTGGAAAAGAGAGGTGTGTGTGTGTGTGTGTGTGTGTGTGTGTGTGAGATGAGGGGTAAAAAAACAACCCCCTGCTGCTTCAAAGTAAAGTTTGTGCACATAACCACCATAGCTTCTTTAACTTAACACACAGCAGGCAGTGTGAGCAAACCCCTCTGTACGCTGACGGGTGTGTTTGTCCTCAGGGAACAGCTATTGTTTAGATTTAAGCCACTTTGAGATAAGTTGGGCAACGTGTGTGTGTGTGTGTGTGTGTGTGTGTGTGTGTGTGTGTGTGTGTGTGTGTGTGTGTGTTTTTTTTGGGCCGTCTGGTGGGCTCCTTATGGGGGCTTTCATTCTTTTTGATGGTCCCTATACACCATCAACACCTCATCTGTTCTCTGCCATACGTTCTCTCAATTAGCAGCAGTGAAAGGAGAGAACACAAAGACGCTCACACCTGCATCTTTCCCTTCTGTTTTCGTCTTTCTTTATGTTAAGGGTTATATATTTTTTTTAACAGAGTAGGGCATCGACCCCTTTCCTCCGTCCTCTCCCTCCCCTCCTCTCTCCTCATCTAACCCAGCAAACGAACGATGGAGAGCTGAGGAGAGAAATCATGGAGGCAGGCACGGATCATTAGCTATATTTGTCCCCACTTCCTGCAGAAGATGATAGATCTAGCTAATTACCCCATGTTGCCAAGCCTATCGCACACGACAAGCGGCCGTCGCTATGGCGGAAATCAACGCTCGCTTGGCGCCTGCCGCATAGCTGATGCTATATGACTATTCATGAGCCTGGAGTCAAAGGAGAGGAGGAAATTTCAGATCCTGTCATTGCTGTGTGTGAATGTGATTGTTCTGGAAATGATTTTAATGATGCATGTTCTCCATCTTCTGCTTCCCTCTGTGTAGAAAATGAGTTTGGAGGAGGCGTGGTGAGCCGATTCTCTGCAGCTGAACGTCAGTGTGGTCACGGTGGAAGCAGAGGTCTGGACCAGGGAGCTGTCTCAACCCCCAAACCATTTCAGGTAGCGCAGTGTGCTTCCTTCTTTCACACAAAAAAAAAACAGTTCAGTTTTTTGTTTTGAACATCAGAAGCTCATTCTCATGCAGATGTGTGTGATAGACCTGAACTGTGCCATAGTAGCAAAAAGTGGCACAGTGGTAGAGTATTTGTCACTCATGATTTGTTGTTTACAGCCCTCATAAAGGGTGTAGATGAAATCATCACTTGGCCAGTTGATTGACAGGGGACCCCTAATAAACCTGGTATTCCACCCTGTGGGGGAGGTTGTGCAGGGCACGTATTAGCAAGCTCTGTAACTGTCAGTACTAATCTTTTTTTTTTTTTTATCACCCATTAGACCTCTGTGTCACTTGAAAAACCTCAACACACAAGACGGATTGTTCTTACCCAAACTGTGATAAAAAAGAAGTCATCCCAAATACTTGGTTAGAAAACAGTCTAAAGTCATACTACAGAGATTTCAGAATACGGACTGCAACCAATGTAGTAGATTAGTATTGATGAAGATTCAAACATCTCAAAGTATTATAGCACTCTTGAGCTGTGCATATTTTCTGCTGTATTGTTGACATGGACAATTTGAGATTGAATGCAACATTTGGTAAAAGTCATTTGTCACAGTTTTTTGTTCTGAAGAACACAGATTTTTTAAAAAACATATTTTTTTGGTTCATTTTTATTGGATAGAACAGCTGAAAAAGACAGGACATGTCTGGAGGAGAGAGTGGGGGGGATGAGGTTGGATTTGAACCCACGGTGCCTGCTCCGAGGACTATGGCCTCTGTACATGGAGGCGCACGACTTCTAGGCTATCCAACACCCCAAGAATCACAGATTTTTAACAAGACCGTGCATCATTTAGTGTTACTCTGACCTGTGTTACATTTCTAACTAATACTGAGTTGTTGTTGTTGTTGTTGTTGTTGTTGTTGTCTGCTATCGTGGTTTGATAAATGACCAAAAATCCGGCCTTCATTGCTACTCTAAAACTTTCGCAGCCTTGAGGCATTTATGGTTTTACTCTAGTTATCTGTGAGCTACTGTTTATGAGCTGTTAAGAAGAATTTTCTATCAGTGAAAGAAGTTTAATATTTATGGGAGAAATGGGGCGCTGGTGTCCGAGTGGTTAGGGACGCGCTTCCATGTACAGAGGCTGTAGTCCTCGTAGCGTGTGGCTAGGGTTTAAACCCGACCAGTGGCTTCTTTGCCGCATGTCGTTCCCCACTCTCTCTCTCCCTGGTTTCTGACTCTATCCACTGTCCTATCTCTACATTAAAAGCATACTAGAAAAAGACAAGGAAAACTAAATTATGATGCTGGATTGGTGAAGACCAAACTTTTTAGGTTGTATGTTTGGTATTTCTGATCTGGTATCTGCATCAAAACAACGCTTACAACAATCCTGAAAGTTGCAAAAAGAATCCCTTCACATCCTTCCCTGTGACAGCTCTCTGTCATTACTGAACCAGCTGATAAATCGTCCCATTGTATTCAAAACACAGATTTTCTTAAGCGTTTCAAAGCCCTGCACAGCTGCCGTCACCCAGCAGAGCCATTTTCCACACTAGTTAGGAATCACTCCTCAGATTTGAGTCTCTCTCTCTCTCCCTCTCTCTCTCTCTCTCTCTCTCTCTCTCTGTCTCCATCACCCTCGCTCTCTCTCTCACTCTGACTGTCAGCGCCCACTCAGATGCTATCTCCACAGCCCTTCACACTCATTCAGATGCACTTACCATCGGTTTGGCACACATGTTTACTGTCACTGGATGATGCACGGCGTAAATACCTATTTGCACTGAAATTTGATAGTGCCTGCACAGGTTTTGGTGGCTCCCTACTGCTACACTGTACAGAATACAAATGTGAGAGCATGTATGTGTGTGTGTGTGTGTGTGTGTGTGTGTGTGTGTGTGTGTGTGTGTGTGTGTGTGTGTGTGTGTGTGTGTGTGTGTGTGTGTGGCAGAGGGTGGGGTTGGGCGCCATATGCCTGAAACGCACTCTCCCAAAACTTCAAGGGGAAAACAAAGGGAAGCTGATAACGATGTGAATTGTTGTGACAGATGTCTGAGCACCAACACCCCCCCATCACAACCGACGGAATCACACAGAAACACACATTAACACACGCTCATGCTAAATGCTTGTTCTATGTCTCAGTGCATATCACACTAAAGGCTGCATCGCTTCATCATTTTTAATTCAAAGTACTGTCCCTCTTATTTTCTCTATGAAGCAGCAAAGTCCTCTTCTCTGTTTCTTTGTGTCTTTCGCTGATGACATTTACGTGTTTACACAAGAATGAAGACACACCAATAAGCACTTTACAGACACTTTAAAGTTAAAAGAAGAGACATACATGTCCACTGTACAATCATGACTGGCATTTCAGCTGCTGCAAGTGCTGTATTTAAAGTCGAGCTGCATTCTTCATTCCAGTCAAAACACTTTGAAAGCTCTCTATTAAGACGGTTTGTGTTGAATTTAATGTGTAGATGGTTTTCATTTGAAATTGGATGCAACCTTTTGTTCATGCAGACGTCTCATCCCTGACCCAATCTATAATGAATGAATTTGTGGAAATGGCAGATTTTTTTACCTTAATATTACCTACTTGTGTTTGGTTTTCACCATACTAACTGAACCCCCCGAGGAGGTCATGTTTTATAGAAAAATGTTGAATTACTCCAGCGCTAGTGAAATACCTTCACCTTGCTCCCAACATTAACTTTGTGCAACACTCAGTCAAGGAAACCTATGAATGCTTCACTAGCCATCCTAAACTTGAGAGGCCTGGATCAGCGTGCCTCTGTGGTTATTCATGTGGGTTTGTAAAGCCATTGATCTCAGGTCTAATGGAGACGCAGACAGAGAAGGAGTGGGCCTCTTCCTAATCCGCAATAAGCAGGCTAACCTTCATTACAGCCGTGACATTTTCCCATGAGGTGCTAGGAGAGAGAGGAGAAGCCAGACAGAAAGTGAAGGGCTCTCTAACATATGGCCGGCTGCAGAGGTGTGCGCACACTTCCTGTTCTCATAAGGCTCTCATAAGGAGCCCTGAGGAAAGGAAGTGGAGGTGACGAGATTAACACTTCTGCTGCTGCTTCCGTTGTTGTTCTTGTTGTTGTTGTTGCTGGACCCTCAGAGAGGACGTGACTGCTTCACAAAGCCACTTTTAGTATGCTTGTCTGTGCACACTTCAACTAAACTTGGATGTAAACAATCCATCCTCTTATTTTATGAGAACGCTATTTTTCTATCAAGAAGGAAAACTCAGTGGAAGCAGATTGAGCCCAATGTTTATAGCTCACTGGATCATATTAAAGTATCTCCCTTTAGGAAAGGATTTTCATAACTCAGTCATATACATATTTTGATGTAATTATCGCGGGTGTTTTCATGAAGAACAAATAGTTTCTGTTGCAGTAAACATTAAGAATTACGCAGCTGCATTTGTGAGCTATTTCTGCGTTTGGAGAGCCTAAACAGCTGCAGAAAACAATAATCTGATAAGAGAAGAGAGAGTTAGCCTCAGGATTGTTTTCATTAGGGGCGCTGATGGCCAAGCGGTTTAGGTGGCACCCCGTGTATAGAGGCTAGTCCTCTAAGAGGTCGGTGCCGGTTCGAGTGCGACCTTTGGCTCCTTTCCCACATGTCATTTCCCGCTCTCTCTCCCGATTCCCTACTCTTTCCACTCTCCTATCTGAATAAAGGCATAAAAAAACAAACAAATATAAACCTTTGAAATGTTTACTCTCAATTAGAGCTGTCAGCACTAACTAGTTAATCACAATTAATTAGGGTCTAAAATTAATGCATTCTTTTTTTTTTTTAAATAGCAATTAATCTCATGCTATTTTGTCTCTTCAGGCTCACCGTAGATAATCCTCCGCAGTGTCTCCCGGTAGTCACAGTGATATAAAAGAACGACACTGCTGTGTCTTTGAACGTCTCATTTCACTTTAAAAAAAACTCTCAGACAGCTCAGCGGACAAGTCCAAAGTAATATCCACTTCATGACATCACACATTTTATTTGTGACTGTTCCTTTGAGTTCCTTTTTGACTTCAGTTTGTGATCCGTAATGTGTTCCTTTTTAAGTGGTTATTTCAAAATAAAAGCACGGTTAAAATCAAACAGCAAGTCAGAGTTTTCTTGCAGTTTTTATTCAATTCAAAACAAGAAATTACTTTATATTGGACGTCAAGGCAATATATTTTTGTTGCCGTGGTTAACCAGTATCATATCTAAATTTAGAACTCTGGTTCTACCTGTACATTTGCACATTCACAATTTATGCTCAATGTCAATCAGTGCCTGCAGGGAGCAAAGTTATTTTCTTTTGCCTCCCAGGAAGCTATTTATTTTCTATCACCATGGTAACCACAGAAATGCTTCATGTAAAATCTATACATATGCGTATATATATATATATCGCTAGTTTAGGTCACAGTACCCAAAAATACTCAGGGTCACTCCCCGCCTGCTACGCTTACAATTTACAAGGTGCTCTCGTCTTTCATCATTTTATTTTTCTCCTGTTGAAACATTTATGGGCATTCATAAAGAAACACCCCATTAAAGCCGAGGGGCTCTACAGTACAGTAAGTGTGGTGTTAATAAATCATGTTTAATAAAAAGAGACATCCACGGCCTCTCTGCCTTATAGTCCAAACCCAGGGAGTATGAATATTTAGGCTCGTCTGGAAATAACAGGGTGACGTTCTGACGTGGTGTTCAGGCTCCTCAACAATTTATGATGTGTTGGTGAGGGCAGAGACGTTCCCTCCTTTAGAGGGTTTGTTACTCTGACATACATGAGGGAGGTGTAAGGGCAGGTGATGCTTAGTCAGGCATGAGAAGAAATGCCTGAATCCCGAAGAGAGGACAGAAGGAGATGTTGAAGTGTTGTGTCTTTAGCTCAGGTGAAAAACTGGCAGCGAGAAGTTTTTGTAGTTTGTTTCAATCACTGTTTGCATCCCCCAAATAGATAAACTTTATTATGAGGTCTGAATAATAAGTAGATTATACATTCAACAGAAAACATAATACTGCATTAAAGGTGTCCTGACAGACATAACTCATGTGCTCTGAAAAAGGAAAGAAGAAAATCCGTCATCTGTATCAGTTTGTAAGTCTGTAAAAACTTCAACCAATGTCTGCCACGAGGTACCAATCTGATGAACCAATCACGAGCCTCCCTGTCTCCCTGCTCGTTCTCTACCCCTTGTGTGCACAAGCCCACACTCAAAGCATGAGCTGAGGTCAGCTTCTGGACCAATGGTGCTTCTGCATGTAAGTGAGGGGCGTGGCTTTTGAGGGAGCACAGAGGGGAGGGGGTGCAGACCGAGCACTGAGGGAATGCTACTTTCCAAATCATGCTAGTTTTCAAAAATTACCAACCCTGTCTTTAATAATCACAGACAATACATATAACATACAAAGTGCAGAAATGCATAAAGTGCTCAGGTTTGTTTGTTTGAAGTTTATTTCGGTAAAATAAAATTAAAATTAAAACGAGAGAGAAAACAAAATCTTTAAAAAAGGAGATTGACATCATACAAAAGAAGCTCTCAAATACTTTCAATTTACACGTCTGAAAAGGAGTGGGAAGAAGTATAAAGTTAGGGTCAACACGTACATTTGGTAAACAAGTTGATCCTGTCAAAGGTACAGAACCTAGAACATTAAAATACATAATAAATAAAGAAATAAATAGACCATAAAGAAGCTTGACATCAGCGTCCCAGCCGGCTGTCACTGTCCCTCCATAGAAGACCTTCATGAAATTACAACAAACACATCAAGCAGCAGAGAGGAAAACGAGGAAGAGAAGTGAACCTTTTCCCTTCACTTATTGGTTAACTGTAAACAATAACAAAACAAAAGATGAGCTTCTAAAACCAAACAAAGTTTCCAAATGGCTGAATGGGTTGATGACAGCGTGAATTGTTGAAGAGGCCGATGGAGGGACTGATCCATTTATAATCAAGAAATCAAACGTTGCATCGTTTAAAAGTGTGTTTTTTGTTCTGTGAAAATGAAAGATACATTTTTCATAAATATTTATCAAATAAAAAGGGGGGCGTCTTAATCGACTCAAACACTAATTGTTCTGTGAATGCGTCTTATACATACAAGTCTTTTTTATTGGTTTGAATTATTTCCTGAATTAAACATCCAACATTGTAGCCGTTATAACCAGTGATACTCTAAATATTGACTGTAAGAGATTAAAGAGACACAAATTGATTCTGATAAATTCAGCAGGACAGCTGCTGCATGGGACAAGAGATTTTTTATTTTTTAAGGACTCATTTACTCAGCCGTGATTGAAGATCATATTAAAGAGCCAAATGTTCTCATGTCTCGTCTATTTTTAACATAAAATCAAACGAAAAACAAACGTGTAAATGACTGAAGGCAGATTGTCCATCAATCATCCTCATGAAGTGATACATCCGAGTGTTGCAGACGTCAAATCCGTGTTTGACAAGAAGGAAGAAAAAAAAAAAGCCCTGAGAACGTGGACGTGTCTCCAAATTAAAGATAATTGTGTGATGCTATCTGTCGTATGAGTAACAGCGTGTTTGTTGCCTCTCTGCAGATGGAGGTGGATGCAGACGATAAGCGCCATCGCACACGCTCTAAAGGTATCTGCACTGATACACACGCATACACACAGCGGCACAGCCATTCAGGGTGACCTTCACTCCCACAGCACACACACACACACACACACACATATACTGTACACACACCACTGCACAAATCCCAGACTGCCACAGTTGATTTGGCTTTCCTCACTGCTCGCTCTCTCTCACTCACTCACTCTCTCTCTCTTTCTCTCTTTCTCTCTTTCTCTCTTTTCAGATATTTTTCCAAAACTGAGTCAAACACCACATTTAGCTTTTTTACAGAAATAAAACATCTACAATGGTGACGTCTTACTGAGAAAAGTAAACACCATGACATTTAATAATTGAACTTAATGTACAAACAAATCAGTTAGGTCTCAGTTTTTGCAGGAAAAGTGACAACACTTTTTTAAATAACACACACACACACACACACACACACACACACACACACACACACACACACACATTTTTATACTCTCTGTTCACTAGGGCTGGGAATCTTTGGGTGTCTGACGATTTGATTTGATTTGATTTTGATTCTTGGGGTCTTTTCAGTTCTAAACGATTCTGGATTTATGATTCAGAGTCTGTTCTTGAATGAGTGCATACTTCAGGATCTACTCCAGTCATCTGCGAGGCTGGCTGAATATCTTGCTGCTCCATTTGGCATTCTACTTAGTTACAGAGCTAGCATTAGCACACTTAGCACGGAGTGACTGATTAGCCAAAAAAAACGTCATGAATCTATTTGAAATCTTAGAAGATAAGATCTTTTTCCCCACCTCTACTGTTCACTTTTATAAACGTTGCAAAACCTTCAGTATTACTTTGCACTGTCAGTTTTAAATTAACCTGTAGCTGAAAGTGTTAAACCTTTGAAGTAGACCAGGGACTGGTCCACTGTCTATGAAACGTGAAGGATACAGGGTGGTCACAAACACACTGGTACAAACTTGTCTCTCATAGGCACATATTTTTCGTTCACTAATTCCGGTGGCGCTGCTCTGTGGTGACCCGGGCGGCCTCGTGTTAGGGCTGCTGCATGGGTGAAGAGCCCGAGACAAATGTTTCAAATTGGGCGACAAGTAGAGATAATCTTGAATCTTGAACTGTGGCTGGTCCAGCTCAGTACCAGCAAGAACTGCAACCTTACTCTAATGAATCTCCAAGGAAATCCAGAAGGGTAAATATGAGTCAACAGTCCCTCGTTAGTTCAAAATGTTTGATACAAGTAGCTGATTTTGTAATAAAAAAATACTGCTAAATAACTTATTTTGGGGGATTTATTCAGGAAACAACCTGCCATTTGTAAGCATGTGATTTTAGACAAACTATATTTTCACCTGTAGTTCAACTGCTGATAACAAAGTCTCTGCTGCTCAGTTTGTTTGGAGTTTATTGAACACTGAGTAATGAGACCATTACATTGGCTTTAACTCTTAAAGGCATCTAATGACTGATCAGTACAAATACAGGGAAAGACATTTCTATTATTATAATTTTTGGCTTAATCATTTGCGTGTAACTAAAACCGACTCTAAAACACAAAATTCTCCCACATCCTTCCCTTTACTCCACGCCCGCCCCTCCTTTTCCTCTCTCACTGGTTAAAATCATCTAAAACGAACTATCCATGTTTTAATCAGAGGTTCTTCTTCTTGATGCATTTTTTATTCCTCACAACTTCAGAAAGTATCTCCCATCTTTGACAAGAACAAAGAAACAAGGAGGTGACCTTTGTTCCTGCATCATGTAGATCAGGCTCTCTGTGACCAGGCGGCCATCTTTGATCCGCTTACACGTGTCCTCTGCTAGTCGGCCAAAGACAGAACTAATGTTTGAGTGAAGGGCCGGCTCTGAAATCATCATTAGGCTGTGTCTCAAATCACTCACCTGCCTGCCTCTTCCTAAATAATTCAAGTCTTTGATATATAGAAAGTTTTCATTTCTGACACGTATGAATCATTGTTATCTTCCATAACCAGGATCAGCTTTCAAGTGGAGCACCAGGTTACTTAATAAGTAGAAAAAAATGTTGTACCTTACTTATGGGGCATAAGGGATGGTATCAGTCGAAGGGCTTTGACTGTAACAAGAGGTATCATAAACAACTGTGTTTGTTTGAACTCTTTTATCTGAGGAGGATTGTCACTTTGAATTTGTTGTGAGTGTGATGTAGTGGTAAATATAGGTAGAGATGGAACCGATCTGATCTGATCTTATATCGGTATCGGGTGTGATATTGAGGTAATTTACATATCGGGTATCGGACTGACGGCGCCAATCCACGTCACTGATCAAGAAATCTGGTTGGTCACTTTAAACATTCTCAGCTCGCACAGTCTCACTTTGAAGACATTCAGACTAAACTGTAAGAAGTGCCCACAAAGCGTCTCCATGACGACGTTCAGACGAGATGGAACAGCTCCTTCTATATGTTAAAAAGTACAATTCTTACACTTCAGTTTAAAAGATTTATTTTGAAAAACCTGACAGGTGTTGCTGCTTCCTGTTTGTATGTGAAGTACTGTTATCAGTACGAATGTATCGGATTGGGATCCGATCTGAGAAAAAAGTGGATCGCTGCATTTCTAAATGTAAGCGTAGTTTTGAGGAAAACATATTGATACATATTGAGTTTTTCCAGACAGACAGTTGTTATAGAGACACATAAAATAAAATGTAACCTGGGTGATATTAATACTTTTACTTCTCTAATACATGAAATGATGACAAGTGAAGTGAGAGGTCTGAGACGAGGATGAGGAGTTGTCATGTCGAGCTAGCAAACATTTCTCCTTCAGGCGGAGGCTTTGGTGTTGTGTGCTCTTATTGTCATTTTCACTCTAATATTCACGAGATGTGACAATTAAAACATGATTGATGCTTTATTGAATGAATGATCTGGTAACAGAGGCAGACAGACTGCAGCTCCTGCTGATCACACACACACAGATCACTGGTTTAAAACCAGTAGGGACACGACATCACTCCCACAGGTTACCACCTTCATCCTCTCTACTGGAAGCACTGAGCCGCAGAGCTCTTCTTCTTCAGTCCTTTGATGAAGAGCAGAATATTATAAACTGTGTTTTTTAAATTGTTTGAAAAAACCAAATGCTACACACAGCGTTAAGTCAAACTGAAACTAATGATTTCTAATTCACCACCTGTACTTACTGAGGGCTTGGTTTGACTCAAACGGGGGCGTGGCCACTTTGGAGAGGGGAGGAATCTCAGTTGGGAGTCATACACCTATATTACCAATCGGAGCCTGTCAGTTGCAAAACGAGCACTTTGTTTTTGACACTGGATCTGGTTTATTAGCATAAACATATGCTGCTCGTTTTGCAACAACGCTAACCCTCACCCCCAATTCACACATACTCTGTGCTCGCTGTGGTCCACCAGCGCTGCGGTTTTGCTCCATCGGACGGCACACGTCCAACATGTTGCTTTGTTTTTCTGAGGATGATTTGTTGTTCATTCTGTGCCTCTTCTTACATAATGTTGATAAAGTGATGAAAAATATGATCGTGAGTCTGTATATAGTTTTTTTTTATTTTGAAATTGACCGGATGCTCTGTGCGTTTCCTTGTCTGACTTCCTGTCCGGGTTGTCATATTCTGTCCAGCTTGACGCGAAACCTGCAGCGCACTCCGGCAAAAATAGCGCATTTGAAACGGAGCAGAGTGTAGTGGCGCTGCTGGAGTGTGTGTGAGTTGGGGCTCATACAGATCACATGATAAAAAAATAAGTGGGTGTTAGTATTAAACATTGGGTTGATTTAAGGTGCTTCACTGATCTCGTTTCCATGATTAACTTTGCAACTTTTTTTACAGGCTGCTTTTTTATCTGTTGTAAAAATAGTTTTTTGCATTCAGCATGGAGGAGTCAGTCCAGTTTTATAATCAACATCTTTTTTGTTTTTCTCTTTATTTCTCTCTCTCAGTGCCGGTGGATCCAGCATTAACGGAGCTTTTCAGGTCAGTGGGATTGAAAAAGTGCACAGCAAACTCTCTCACACACACACACACACACACACACACACACACACACACACACACACACACACACACACACACACACACACACACACACACACACACACACACACACACACACACAAGAAACACAAACACAAACACAAATGCACAGACAAGCAGATAGCCAGAGTGTTTGGAATATAAAGTCATACACCCACAAACACAAACACAAGCACATGTTCACACAAAGTCGCTGTTGTCTTATCGGTTCCTGGAGATAGTCAAACAGTGCATGGATCAAATATCACCTAATGACCAACCTCATATTTTCCTGCCTATCCTTTTCCTGTTTGAAAGCCGTCCTCACATCAGAAATCACTGGAGAGTCCTAACATCTAGGGTCTTTCTCCTTCCTCGCCTTTTTTTCGTTTTCCTCTCTTGTTTTTCTGTTTCTTCAGCCAAGATACTTTTGGATAATTCACTTTTTTTTCCTCCTGGTTTGAGTTTCTCTCTCCCTCCCTTTGGACATCTTCAGTGTCACAAAAAGAAGATAACAGCATAACAGCAAAAAAAGCATATTCCCCTCTTGTGAATATCCCCCTCAGATGAAATATTTAATAAGAGGGTTTTCTCCTCCATTCAAAGTTCCAACCATAAAAGCTAAATACTTCTGTTTTTGTCTCATGCACTTGATGATATTTAGCGTGATAGCCAATTATCAATTCATTACCCATGCAGTACAACTCTCTCTCTCTGTGTCTTCACGCCTACAGTGGTAAAGTTCTCATCGGGTGATTGGAGTGGGTGGAAGGTAGAAGACAACTTAGTTTGAATCTGAAGGTTTTTCTTTTGTCGCTGGAAAAGTTTCTTCACAGTTTTGAAAGTATATTTTTAAGACCTATTGTCATCTTTAACGATTCAAAAAGTGTAAGGATAAGCTTCAAACCAATTATGGTGCATGTTAAAAGATAGCAGCAACACTGTTTGATCTTTCCTTCACCCTGATCTTTGAGACTGTGGAAACATTATAGGTTGTCGTACAGTGTGCTGCCTGGTACACAATCAGACTACACCTCTGCAAAGACAGTGTGGGATGAATGTTTGATCTTTCTGCATCGTGTGTGTGTGTGTGTGTGGGGGGGGGGGGTTAAAGCATTTCTATTTTATTTTTTAACGTCATTCACATGTGGTTCCTGCTGAAGTATGGTTTCTAAACGCTTTAAAAAAAAGGTTTTTGATGTTATGATGTTGATCGGTTTTTCTTCATCAATCAATAGAAATATTTTTTTCTTGAGTGCTGCAAAGTTACATCGCGGTCCAGCACACTAATCTCCAGCAGGCAAAATGACAAGTCTCAGTGTCTCAAATTGTAAAATAATTTCTATATTCATAGCAATGAGGAAAGTCTTTTACCTGCTCTTTTGTAAAGTATCTCCAGATAACATTTGTTATGATTTGGCGCTATACAAATAAAGGTTGATTGATTGATTGATTGATTGATTGATTGATTGATTGATGATTGATTGATTGATTGATTGATTGATGGATTGATTGATTGATTGATTGATTGATTGATTGATGGATGGATGGATGGATGGATGGATAAAAGGCAAGAAGACAACTCTGACTTCAGCCTCTGAGAGCGAGGAGCCAGCTCAGCATGAAGAACTGTTGTTTTTAAATTAAAGTCAGCACTAGCTGAAACTCGGACGCTGATTATGGATCAAAAATCACAATAACAAACCTTTTAGACTTCATAACTTCCAAATGTAAAAAAGCTGAGATTCTCTATTTAATTTCATATTCATTGACTGACCTTAGGCTGACCTTATGAAAAGTGTGTTTGGTGAAAAAGAGCTGTATCATCAGCTCAGTAACATTTGGTTTATTTGATGTTGAAGAATTTAAGACTGAGTTAAAATAAGTAGAGATGGGACCGATCCGATCTTATATCGGTATCGGGTCTGATATTGAAGTAATTTATGTATCAGATATCGGACTGACGGCGCCGAGCTACATCACTGATCAAGAAATATGGTTGGGCACTTTAAACATTCTCAGCTAAAGACATTTAGACTGAACTGTAAGAAGAGTCGTCTCCATGACGACGTTTTGACAAGATGGAACAGCTCCTTCTATATGTTAAAAAGTACAACTCTTACTCTTCAGGTTAAAATATTTAATTTGAAAATCCAGTTTTTTTTCTGTGTATCTGTACACACATTTTAATCCGGCCTTTTGTTGTATGTGCGGATAAGGGAAAAACTTGCCAACATCTTGTAACAGCTGCTTTTTATCCTGAATGGAGCCGTTACACTTCCATCTGAGCAGCTTATTGACCCACACGTGTTGCAGCATGTTTCCTCTGGTGAGGATGAGGAGTGAATCCCAAAGGATTTCACTGCAGTTCATCAATGTTAGCCACTCAACGTCTCTGTCCACACTGGTTCCCCATTCTGCTGCAGGATCTATGTAGCAGAAGCCAGATTAAGTTTTTGCATGTGTTTATCCACAGTATTATGTATAATCTGAGCGTAAAGTACCACATGTTTGGAAATTCAAGGGTGCTTATTTTTTGGTGTCCTCTACTCGTCTTTGCGAGTTGTTTCCGCCCCAGTAATGTGTGAATTTAATTTTGTCCTTGGCTCTGTGTTAGCGGGTGGTTGCAGCTAAGATAAGGGTTTCTGCCCACCTATATATCAATAAATAATATTCCACCTGGAAGATTAGTGTGTAGCCTGTAGCTGATATTCATAGATAGTACAAGGTGTACTCCCCCTCCTCTCTCTCCTCTCTCCTTCATGCCCCTCCGTTTTCACTTTCCCCCTCTTTTTCCACATTTTCTGTCATTCTCACCTCCCGCTCTCACTTCTCCTCTCCACTTCCCTCTCTCTCTCTCACTCTGCTGCTGCCTGCAGATAGTAATTAATCAGGGGATCGAAGTGAAGCCTATCTCCAGGCTGAGGCGTCCATAATGTCGATAATGCCGCTCGATGGCCTCTCTCCCCAGAGAGCTGATAGTCTTCAGGACGAACAGCCTTGACTTTGCATGGAGCAGTCTGGGCTGCGTCAGATAGACCGCTGCTGTTTTGTCTGTCTGGTTTGTGCGGGTGTTTTTAAGTGCGTACACTCATAGAAGCCTTGACTCAAAACAGAACACACACACACACACACACACACACACACACACACACACACACACACACACACACACACACACACACACACACACACACACAATCTGTCGGGAGATGTTAATGTGCCTTTCTCTAAAAGAGAAACTTTACAGGTTTCCTGTGGGTTAGGGTTAAAGACAGGTGTGTAAGTGTGGTTGTAACATTTGCTCCACCAATAACACTAACTGATCCCACAAGACCATCAGGAGGCTACACAGGATGTTGTTGGGTCATCTCTTAAAGCAGGGTGTCTGATTACCTGTGAGTGTTGAAGCTTAGACTTCAGTCTAGACTTAAATATCAGAACCTGATGTTAAAAAATAAAAGACTTGCTGTAAACCTGCAAACAGGATCCCGCATTCATTAATGTAACCAATAAAGGACACATATACTTTTTTATAGACACAAAATGTGTTTAAAAGAAGAGCGTTGAGGAGCTTTATTTGTCCTAAACTGTAATTTAAGATCAAGAGAGAGGGCAAACTGCAAAAAGCTGTACTGCATGCCCCTCCCTGCTTATTCAACACTTAATCTTTTATAAATTCAATAAATATTAAGCGATCTACTTGTACTACAGTCTGATGTGAGTATTTTGGTGAATACATGTATTTTGCTGTAGACTTAGGTCTAGCATCCAGGTTTTTTTCTGTCTCTACAGAGTGCTTCATCCCATGCAGTCTTCTTCAACGGCCTTCTCTCGTTGTTTTGAACCTTTCTGAGACCATTCATTGCTTGGATTAATCAAGAGAAATTTGATCTTTTTGAAAAATATCGCCCATTTGCAATTTTAAACAGTCTGTGTCTGGATTGTTACGTCCCTGCAGAACCTCTGTCCTGGTATAATCTGTGCCTTTCAGTACAGTGGAAACATTTCAGACACAGGACATTGTTTCCACGGATAGAGAAAGGGTTCAGGATGAGGTCCAAGTTTGAAGCCGTGTGAGGAGAGGCAGTGTGGAGAGGGTTCTGTCCTGTCTCTCCCCCGTGTGCACGTTGAAAGCAGCCGCATCAGCAGCAGATATGAAACACGTTGAATGTAAAGGCATCTCTCTCCCCTCAAAGCTCCAATTACATGGTTGAATATCTTTTATGAAAGAGCAAAATAAAGATAGCTTTAACAGAAACCCAATCTCAATAAACCTCATCATGTTTTTCATAACGCAGGGTGGAGTGGGGGAGGAGCTGTGCGAGACACTCAGCTCTCAGCATAAACATTCCCCTCCACATCTCTCTTTTGTCATTTGCATATTTACAGTCTGCCATGCTAATCATGTTTATTGGGGTGTATAAGTACTATGCAGGAGCTCAATAGGGAAGGATCGCTTTGTGCTGGAGACTGCATGGCAGAGGCACTGGGATAAAAATTGCCCAACCTTCCCCCCAACCCCACACAACCCCCATATCTGGAAATAAAGCCTTCTCCTGCAGTAATCCAATTTCAAAAGACAAAAAGAGCCATCTTACGTAACTAGGACAGCTCGGGCTTTGGCTAATTATGGTGGTAATGCAGAAGTGAAGAAATCCCCTGATTTTAATTTTTAAAGAGCGCGATTTATGAAGACATCCGTTCATTTTGGGGTGTAGCTCTTAAAGTTATGCATCACAAAAAATACTGAAATCGTGTGAGGTGACAATGTTCGACTTACAGGAAAGAAAATGATTTTTTTGTTCATTTGACTGTATGTATCAGAAATCTGCTTTACATTCAGTTAATGTAATCAATATGGATATTTCAACTTTGATGTCTGTGCTCAAAGCTGGCTGGCACTACCGTATGAGCATTAATCAAAAATCAAGATTTGCACGATTTCACTTTCAGCACGT